GCTAGCGCGATGAAGCTGAGGAGAGTGGAGGTGCACTGAACGAGGAGGAAGAGGAGGAACAAGTGAGACAGAATGAGGAGGATGACGGGAAGGAAGGAGGGAGAGGAGAAGAGTGTTAACGATATTCTTTCTTTAGTAGACAAAGATCTCTGATGAGTGAAGTGAAGATTTGAATGAATGAAGACAACAGAACAGACAAAAACCAGCCAGATCAAAAGATTATTCAAACTCACATCCTTGTACTGGTTCATACTGTCTGCTCCATTCCAACACTCTGCTCTGCTCTCTCGCGTTCACTCTCCTCTGCTATCCTTCATTCCAACGTGCGGTTCTCCTTCTCCTCCCCTTCCTCGCCGCTCTTCTAGTGTCTTCTCCTTTACGTCCACCTTGTCTGTTCGCATGCGTGATCGTATCGCTGAGCATGCGACAAATTGTGCGTCTGCGTCCTGACAAGAAATCAAAGGCGGCAAGAGGAAGAAGGGAAAGAAAAGAAACAGAGAAGTGCGAGGAGCAGGAATGGTAGTAGAACGCGGAGGTGCGGAGGAGCCGGGGGATAATGGTGAGGAGGAGGAGGAGAAGGAGGAGGAGGAGGAGAAGGAGGAGGAGGAGGAGAAGGAGGAGGAGGAGGAGGAGGAGGAAGGGGGGGTTTACCTGCATCGATGTCCATAGTAGCAACGGGGTCGTTGCTGTACAGATGGGGGAAGTTCCTGACAGAAAGATGATGAGATGATAGAAACGAGTGGTCCTGATACCGCGGGCACGAGTGATTTTCTCCAGAGGTAGGCAATGCCTGAGGCGAAGCAGAGGATGAGAAGAGAGAAGAAACAACAGGAGCAAGAGAAGGAGAAGGGGAACATGTAGCGGGGCAAGTATCGCAGGAAAAGCAGAAAGATGCGCACAAGAAGAAGTCACGTTCGTTCAAGGGCAGGTGCAGGCAGGAGCAGGAGCAGGAGCAGGTGCAGGTGCAGGAGCAGGAGCAGGAGCAGGAGCAGGAGCAGGAGCAGGAGCAGGAGCAGGAGCAGCACTTCTGACCAGCAAAGAGTGTCCTCATGCAGGAGTTGCAGAGGTACTCTGAATCAACCAAAGCTGCAAATGAAATGAGGACAGAGGAAGATGAAAAACGGAGAGTGGGATAGCGGGAGAGGAGGAGGGAGGGAGGGAGGAGGGAGGGAGGGAGGGAGGAGGAGGGAGGGAGGGAGGGAGGGAGGGAGGGAGGGAGGAGGGGAGGGAGGGAGGGGAGGGAGGGGAGGGAGGGGAGGGGAGGGAGGGGAGGGAGGGGAGGGAGGGGAGGGAGGGAGGAGGAGGGGAGGGGAGGGGAGGGGAGGGGAGGGGAGGGGAGGGAGGGGAGGGGAGGGGAGGGGTGGGGTGGGGTGGGAGGAGGAGGGGAGGGGAGGGAGGAGGAGGGGAGGGGAGGGGTGGGGTGGGAGGAGGAGGGGAGGGGAGGGAGGGAGGAGGAGGGGAGGGAGTAGGAGGGAGGGA